GCTGACTTTAGGGGAACGCTCTCTGTCCACTCGGGGCAGGGGGTGGGGGGCTGGGAGGGAGTCCTTACCTCTTTCAATTTCTTTTCCTTGGTTCCTTGAAGATCCCCAAGTTCCATCAGTGCTCCCCACTTGCACTTGCTTCTGAGCCTAATCTGTTCTTATACATCTCAGAAGTGATCGCTTCAAACACACTCAATATATGACCTCATTAACATAACAAAGAAATCCCTCTTCGTGAAGAGGATTGCATCTCGGGTATAGGAGTTAGCATTTGCAACCTGTATTTTGGGAGGACATAATTCAATCTGTATCCAGGGCCTCTCCTCACTTGATTCCTGCCCTTTCTTGTCTCTTTCAGGCTCTGAGGGCTGCGTAGCCAGCAGAATGCCCGGCCTGCTGAACCGGGCCACAGGGGCAGCCCTGCCTCTCACCGCGTCAGACGTCACCTCCTTCGTCAGTGGTTACGCGCTGGGCCTGACCGCCTCCCTCACCTATGGCAACCTGGAAGCTCAGCCCTTCCAGGGTAAGAACCACTGTTGGGGCATCTCAAGGGACCACCCACCCTCCAGGTTGAATCCCTGACCTGCCATTGACTGACTGCTTGACATTGAACACTATCGGGATCTCAGTTTCCTCATCTGTAAAATGAGAATACCATTTTTGCCCTCAAAAAACCTCACGGCCATTGGGCCAATTCCGCCTCATCCCAGCCCTATAGGAGAGAGTAGAATCGCTGCTCCTGTGGTTAGTAACAAGTGGGGTCTGGCTTTAGACCCAAGCTCGAGCTCCAGCCAGCTGGCCCACCACATTCTACCATTCAAGCACATGTGTCCGATGGCCAATACCAATTCTCCAGGTGACCTCATATGGAGAGAGGCATCAAGAGTTGGGCAAAACCAACTGCCCAGGTCTAGTCGTGTGTCTCTGTCCCTCCTCTTGGGGGAGTCATTGGCCATCTCCCCATCTGGATGCTCCTCTCTGCCCATCCCTCCTGGAGCTGGTGAAGTAATCCGAGAGGCCAGAGAACATGGGGAGAACGGTCGGCCCACGGGCGTCATTGTGTGGGGCACTGAGGCATTTGCCTGCAGAGCCTTACATACGTCACCCTCGTCTTCATCGTCAGACGGCTGCTGCAGGAATGCCTTGCTGGCAGGCGACGTGGAAGGTCCTTCTGGCTCAGGGACCCTTCTCACTGCAGTGGCAGAGGTCCTCAGACCGACGCTCCACGTCTGTGGAGTGACCCGCCAGCCCAGTCTGATGCTCCGACACCGCTTCCATTCGCTGGAGGGCAACGCTACCCCAAAAGGAGCGAGCAGAGAAACGTACTTCCCTTCAGAAATCTTGTTGGCAGGGGAAATGCCCTGGTGCTCGATTGGAGGCCTGTGAGTCAGAATGGACTCGGCTGTTGTAGTTCAAGGGCAGAATTCGTGGCTTCCAGGTGGGAAAGCCAGTCTGAATCCTAGGCAGTGCGTCGCATGTCAGTGGAGGTGGTGTGTGTGGCTAGGATGCGGAAGAGGTTCCAGCGGAACTTTCAGAGTAAGATGAAGTTGGAAGAACCCCGGCAATCGAAATCCGAACATGAGCCCATGAGAACCCAATAGGTCAAATGGTCCGAACCTGGGAGCAATTCTGTCCGTTGGGCCTGGGGTCCCCACTATTCCGAAGGTGGTGAACAGCCGCAGAGAGAGTAGTTGAGACTTGGACTCACCTGAAAGCGCAGGGGACTAAATTCCTGAACAACTCTGGGGGGCAGTGGTTTGGCTCAGACTTTCCACCGCTGATTCGAAATCCAGAGCGCTGGCCCTGCCCCAGAACTATTTCATCACAGTCTGCAGGTGGTGCATGAGCTATCTTCTCATGATAGTCATGTGAGTTGATATCCTATTTTACAGATGGACTTAGAGGCTCCAAGACTCTACGTGCCTCATCCTAGGTCACCAGCTATTAAACGGGCCAGGGCCTGGATGAGAACCTTAGAACCCTAATCAACTTCCTCCAAAGGCCCAGCTCCTCAGCATCCAAGTGGCAGACAGGTGACCATGGGTCAACCCCCCTGCCCAGGCCCACATAAGAGCTAACATAGAATCTAGGTCTCCAAACACTCTTGAAAAATCAGCAGCGCTGGTCACACTGGGCACACAAACCACAAGGTAAGTTTGCTACAACTGGGGAGGAGCCCCTGGCTCTCCATGTGCCTCGCTGTCCACACAGGGCCTACTGCTGCAATTCCCTAACTGGCCCCAGAGCCACTGGAGGCCCCACCTGGCTCTCTGGAGAGCCCTTCCTGGAAGTGGGAGCCAAGGGGGAGACATTCTGGGGAGAGGGTTGGGACACCCTCTGATGAGTGCCTTGCCCCGTCAGGCATCTTCGTGTACCCCCTGGATGAGTCCACCACGGTGATCGGCTTTGAGGCAGTCATTGCCAATCGAGTCGTGACGGTTCAGATCAAGGACAAAGCCAAGCTGGAGAGCGGCCACATGGATACCAACCGTGTCCGATCCTCAACGGTCACAGGTAAGAAGGCCGTAGGGGCCAGGGCAGTGCCTGGTCCCGATGGAGATTCCCGGGCTGGCGTGTCAGGCCAGGGCCACCCTGGAACAGCATAGAGAGAGCCCTGGACCAGAGATTGGGGACTGACATGAAATCCTGTGTGTCCTTGGGTCAATAATTAATGACTCTGAAGCTCAATTTCACAAGTCTATATGATTGAGGTAATGGTTCCTGTTCTCACCTCCCAGGTGTGATGAGAGCAGAGAAGTCTCTAAGAGAGTATTTCAGATAGCTCTGTGCAGCTGGGTGGCCTGCTATTTAAGCTCAGTGGTATGAGCTTGGGTAGAAATTAGACCTCGTGTGCAAAATGGGACCAGTAGTTATACCCAATTGATGATCAATGGGAAAAATGAATGCAGAACATTCTCCCAGTCCTTGGAACAGATAAAGCACTCAGAGATACCTGCCACTGCGGACAGTTAGCCCTCCTGTCGTGCACTGGGTGGTGTGACACTGGCAGCTATGTCACCAATACTTCAAGGACCAGCAGGGTCACCCAAAGTGAAACAGGTTTCCGTGGGGCTTCCAGATCAAGAACAGACGACAGAGAAGGAGTAGGCTGTCCAATTGCCAGGGATGAGCCACGGAAAACTGGATGGCTATCAGAGCACCATTGTCAGGCACAGTGACAGAAGATGAGCCCCTCGGCCTAGAAGACCCTCAAGACAAGACTTGAGAGAGAGCTGCCTCCTCAAAACCGAGTTGATCAGAATGAGGTGGAGGGAGGAAGTTGTCAGGACCTTCATCGTTGATGGGCAGGCCTCAAAATGAGAAAAGCTGTGGGAAACAGGCATTTAATAATCAGGATGCAGAATGTGCAAAACATGCATCTAGGAAAATTGGGAGACCTCACAAATTAAATGGAGCACATGAAGAACAATGGTGCGCTGAGCTGCGCTGTTGCTGTCATTCGGAATCGGCTATCAGATGGCTCGCTGTGCTGGGAACGACAGATGCATCTTCAAAGGAGCATTGCAAGAGCTATCTGAAAGTACAATGCTGTCTGGGATAGGATGACTCCCATACTCAGACACAGTGCAGTTAGTACAACTATTATCCAAATAGATGCATCAACCACTAAAGCTGGTTGATGGTGCCCAGCTATTAGAAGATATAGCATTTGGAGTCTTAGAGACTTGAAGTTAAACAAGTGACCATCTAGCAGGGAAGCAACAAAGCCCACATGGAAGAAGCACACCAACCTGTGTGATCATGAAGTGTTGACAGGATCAGGTATCAGGCATCAGGAGACGTAAAATAAGCGATCATATCGATGCAAATGAGGGGGGTTCAGAGTGGAGACTCAAAGCCCATCTCTAGACAATTGGACATCCCCTCACAGAAGGGTCTCAAGGAAAGGATGAGCCAGCCAGGGTGCAGTATAGCAACAATGAAACATACAACATTCCACTAGTTCTTTGATGCTTCCTCTCCACCCAACCCCCCACACTCCTACCCCACTATCATGACCCCAGTTCCATGTTACAAACCCAGCTAGACCAGAGCATGTACATTGGTACAGGTAAGTACTCAACACACGGAATCCAGGACAGATAAACCTCTCAGGAACAATAATGGGAGTAGCGAGATCATGAGGATAGGGGGAAGGTGGGGAGAAAGGGGAACCAATCTCAATGATCAACGTATAACCCCCCCACCTCTGAGGGGGACAAACAACAGAAACATGGGTGAAGGGAGACAGCAGATGGTGTAAGATATGAAAATAATAAAATTTATAATTTATCAAGGGTTCACGAGGACGGGAGGGTTGGGGAGGGAGGGAAAAAAGAGGAGCTGATACCAAGGGCTCAAGTAGAAAGAAAATGTTTTGAAAATTATGGTGGCAGCATGTATGCAAATGTGCTTGATACAACTGATGTATAGATTGTTATAAGAGCTGTAAAAGCCCCCAATAAAATGATTTATAAAAATTTTTAAAGAAAAGGTCATGACGAAGAAATAGAAGAATGCTACCAGTTTCAGTTTTGTATTGATCAAACATACAATCAAGACCCAGGGATAATTCTTTTTTATTTAAATGTAAAACTTGGAAACAAAGAGGAAGGTATAGTAGTAAGAATTATGACCTTGGTGATAGAAATAAAACTAGAGATTGCATGATAGAATTTTGCAAGATCAGCAACTTCTTCATTGCAAATACTGTTTTTCAATAACATAAACTGAACCTATATACATGGACTTCACCAGATGGAACACACAGAAATCAAATCGACGACATATGCGCTTACTATCAGCAGCCAAATTGAGGTCAAGGCTGACTGTGGAACAGACCACCAATTTCCCTTATGTGAGTTTATGTTGAGGCTGAAGAACATTAAAATACCATATATACTTGAGTAGAAGCCAGCACGAATATCAGCTGAGGGACCACAAAAACTGCACTTAAAATGTGCTGAAAAACTCAGCTTGTCCGCGAGTATATACGGTAAGTCCGCAAGAGCCAAAACACAACCTTGAGAATATTCCACATGAATTTTGAGAACATCGCAAGAACAGATTTGATGCATTGAATGCTAAGGACAGAAGACCTGGTGACCTTGGAATGGCATTGAGAATATCATACTTGAGGAGAGCAAACGGCCTTTGAAAGACCAGGAAGAAAGAAAACAGCAAAGTCAACGTCAGAAGAGACTCTGAACCTTGCTCTTTCAACAATGGATTCCAACTCCATGAAGAGAAACAAAGAGCTCATGGGTTGGGAGCAGTCAGACACTCAAGCCAGATTTGGAAGAGGACATGGAACAAGGGATCTCATCGGTGACATCTGATGAATTTTGGCTGGAAAATAGAAAAGGGCAGAAAGATGTTGTCTTGTGTTTTTAGTGTGCAAGGGAATTTGACTGTGTGGATCATACCTTTGGATAACCTTGGAAATGAGAATTCCAGAACACTTCATTGTGGAAACTGTGCACAGACCAGGAGGCAATTGTTCAAACAGAATAAGAGAATATTTCACGGTCTTAAAATCAGCAAAGATGTGCATCAGGGTTGCCTCTTCCCACCATGTTTATTCAATCTGTATTGAATCATTGACAAATAATCCAGGAAGATGGGCTATGGAAAGAAAACTGTGGCATCCGTGTCAGAGGAAGGATTAGTAACAACCTGCGACATGCAGAAAACCCAGCCTTCCTGGCTGAAAGCAAGGCGGACTTGAAGCACTTGCTGATGAAGATCAAGATCAGAATCAGTGTGGATTCTGAGTCAGTGTGAAAAACTCAAAATCCTCACAATGGGACGAATGAACACCATCGCGATAAACAGAGAAAAGATCGAAGTTGTCAAAGGATTTCGTTTGGCTCGGATTCACAATAGATGTTCAGGGAAGCAGCAGTCTAGAAACCAAACGGCACATTGCGTTGGACACCTGTGCAGCACCACCGTGCTGTAAGAGCAAGGATGCCAGCCTGGGGACTACGGTACCCCCGATCCGAGCCATGGCCTCCTCAGTCACCTCGGAGGCTCGTGAACGCTAGACTGAAGAAGAAAGGATGCCTTCGCATGACAATGTTGGTGAAGAACATTGAAAGCACCATGGACTGCGAGAACCACAAACAGAGCAACTAGAATGCTCCGTCAAAGCAAGGATGCCAAGGTTGTCTCCCGTACGGGAGAGACTAGTCCCTCAAAAAGAACCTCAGTACTTGGTAAAGTAGAAAGTCAGGGGAAAGGAGGACTCCCCTCAAGAACATGGACTTACATACACAGTGGCTGCAGCCGTGGGTCAAGCGTCACAACTGTGAAGGTGGTGGAGGCCCTGGCGGGGTTTCGTTCGGTTGTACTGAGGGTCACGGTCAGTTGGAACCAACTCAAGAGCACCCAAGGACGACAGCAATTCATCACAATCCCGGGCTCGGATTGAGTCGTCACAAAGTGACTGGGGAGACCTGCTGCTGAAGACAGTGAGGTTCAGAGAGGGTGAGGGGTTGGCACAAGGTCACATAGCATGTCCGTAGCCGAGCCAGGACCTGAATCTAGGCTGTGTCATTTGATATGTGATCCTTACCTTTGGACTTGTGATCAAGATCAAGTGTATTCACCTGAACGTTAAGCTATTCCTGAATCGTTGAATGAACACTTTCCGTGAGTGAGTAATGTCAATGTCCTTACAACGCCTCACAGCCTGAAAGACTGGCAATGACCATGACAGGACGTAGAAAATGACTACAGCAGGAGGGCTTTGGAGAGCGCGAGAGGAGGGAGAACGGGGCCCAGACCGGGGACCAGGAAGGTTTTCACGGAAGGGCTGGCTGGACGGGAAGACAGCCTAAGAAGGGATGAAGGAGATGACCTTCATATAAAAGAAAAGGGCAGGAGCAAAAGCGTAGACCCCAAGGGTGGGCAGATGCTTGACCTTGGTTCTTGAGGGAATGTGGAACCAGAAGACTATAGGTGTGATCCTCTGTTAGGTGTGAGTCCATGTCTCCGGCCCCTAGAGAGATACAGAGGAAGTGCACAGGCCTGGATCAGGTCTGGACCCAGCTCCCGGTCAAGGACTTAGTTATTTGCTGAGTTGCAACTCCACTGTGACCGCCAGTTTTCCCATCAGCAAAAGGGGCCTTTGCAAACCTTGGCCCAGCAATGTCAGAGGAGATGAGAGGTGGTACCGCAAAGCCTCTGACGCCAGTCCTGACTCCTAGGAAACCTTCGACATGAGGGCGCTTCCACTGCCTTTCAACCCTGCACACCCGGAAAGGTGGCTTTGGACGAGGACCTGGAGCGGATGCTGTTTGTGGTCAACCTGGGGACCATTGGCCCCATGGAGAACGTGACCATCTTCGTGAGCACCTCCTCCGAGCTCCTGACGCTGCCCAGCGGGGCTGTGCGGGTCCTGCTACCTGCTGTCTGTGCCCCCACCGTGCCCCAGTTCTGCACTGAATGTGCTGGCGCGAACACCCAACAGTCCCAAAGGTAAGAAGCCCCTGCCCAGACCAAGGCGGGCATCTGAGAGGGGCGGCGAAGCCAGCCAGGTGAGGCCAGAGGTATGTGGGGCTCTGGAGCTAGAAGGTGAGGCTCGGCCCCATAGTTGTCATAGCTCCACCCCACTCACCTTTGGTAGCGTACTTAGCAAACCCCTTGACGTGCTCCTGTGTTGCTATTGACAGAAGTCCTGGGGTTTGGCCAGCTTGGGGTCAGAATTTCCAGGATTTCTTGTTTAATTCACCCAAGAGGTATTTTCTGAGTGCCTGCTATGTGTTACACAGTGGGCTAGGTGCTAACAAAAAACACCTCACTGCCATCAAGGCAACTTTAACTCATAGCAACTCTATGGAACAGAGTAGAACTGCTCCCTGGGGTTTCAGAAACTTTCCATCTTTCCATGAGTAGAAAGCCTCATCTTTCTCCCAAGGAGCGGCTGGTGGTTTTGAACTGCTGACCTTGCGGTTAGCAGTCCGACATGGACCCCATGACATCACCTACAGAAAAGTAGGGTGAAGGAAAAGTTCATTGGTTGAAGAGTATAAAGTGGGTTCAGGGCGGGCAACACATTTTAGGAGGTGTGATGTTTCAGCTGAGACCTCGGGGATGAGGAGGATGTAGGCATGGAGGAGCATTCCCCTTGGGTGAAGAGCAGCAGAGGCCAAGGTCCTACGATAGCTAGGATCAGAGAGGAACTGAAGCACGGGCACTGTGAGATGCAGGGTTCTCACCAGGGCAGAGAACATTGGAGAGGAGCCAATCAAAGGCCAGGCTGAGCTACAGGGTAATCAGAGCCAGTCAGGACCAATACCCAGACAAGCCCAGCCCCAGGACAGTTGGCTTGCCTGCACTCCCTGGTGGGGAGCAAAGGAAAGCATGCCTGGGGTTAAGATAAGGCTCCACCATGTCCCAGCCAAGTCGGAGGACAAAAGAGGACGAGTGTGCCACTTGTTCGGCACTTACTGCCTGCAGGTGACATCCTTTGAAGTCTTGTGTAGTACCATCGGAGTGATGTACATTTAAAAAATCGGTTCCACCACATCTTAGTACCATTTTTAGTACAAAAGTAACACATTTTTGGCTGATTATCAGTTGAACTGCTCTTCTCCCCTCCCCTCTCTGGCATGTGTTACAATGCAGTGACTCTCCAGGAAGTGGTGCCACATGCATCCTGTAGGTCCCGGCCCCTGTGCTGGGGCCCCAGGGATGGCAGGGGAGCTTGTATATACTGGGATGAAGAGCCAGGGACATGGTGGTGTCAGCAACCTCCCCTGGAGATCATCCTGGAGGGACCACCTTAGTCACCTCACAAATAGATGTCAAGCACCTGGGATGTGCCCGACACGGTGCTGGGTGCTGGCTGCTGGGAATAGAGCGGTAAACAAGACAAAGTCCCTGACATTTAAATGGGGGACACAGACAGACCATTGAGAAACCCACCCATCTGCAGGTAACAAGTCAGGGGATCAGCTCTGTGAAGAAGGCACTCCAAGGGACAGAAGGGACGAGTAGGGTAGGTACTATTTGAGATTAGGCAGCATTTGAGGCCTGGCCTGAATGAAGGGAGTTAGCCACGGGAATGCCTAAAGCAGTGGTTCTCAACCTTCTTAAGGCTGCGACCCTTTCATACAGTTCTGCATGTGGTGGTGACCCCCCACCATGAAATTATTTTCATTGCTACTTTGTTACTGTCATTTTGCTACTGTGATGAATCTTAGACCCCTGTGAAAGGGTTATTCGACCCCAAAAGGGGTCACAACTCACAGGTTGAGAACCACTGGCCTAGAGGAAGGCATTCTGGGTAGAAGGAGCAGGGAATGCCAAGCCCTGAGGCGGCAGCAGGCCTTATGTGTTGGCGAAGCGGCAGGAAGGCTTGCTCAGCAGAGGAGGGAGCCAGAGAGGGAGAGAGCCATCACAGGTCATGCAGGACTGTGAGGGTGGGGTGAAGCCTCCGGTAGGCACAACAGAGAAGTTGGGGGGGCACACCAGTCTCAGCCCAGGGAAGACCAGCCTTGCGTTGCCTTCCGGAAGTGCTGCTTCGGAGAGGCAGGTCTTTGCAGGGCTGGGGGCCACCAGGACCTCGGTGGATTGGGAAATAAGAGACTTGATGGGTCCTGGGGCTCCGGGGCTGCCTCTGATAAGCTCCTTCTTGACCCTTCCAGCAGGCAGCTTGATAATGATGCTGTCCGTCAACTCTCTATGGATGTCAAGGAAGCTCAGATGAAGGACATAAGAAAGAGTTTTAACATAATGCCAAATGTCAGTGAAGTTGAGGGGCTCACCACTAGTCCAAGGAGAAAGTGAGACTAGGCAAGGGGAAAAGCCACGCGGTGGTTCACCCAGCGGTCCAAGAGCAGGGCTTCCTAAGAGCAACAGGGACATGGACAAGGGTGGTGGTGGTGTTTTTGTGACTGCAGGGAGGTGAAGGCGGTCTAGTTGTCTCTCACCTGGAGAGCAAGTGCAAACAAGCGTGTGTTCACATCAAGGAACCTGTTCCCAGACAGCCACGTGGACAGAGCTTAAGAACAATGCTAAGTGGGGGAAAGGACAAAATGAAGGAGCTTTGTAAGCAATACAACCTTGTCCCTTAAAAGACCACCCCATCCAAAGGCCACCTGTGTTTTACGAGGACACGTGGAGGCCCCGGGGAGCACAAGCAAGTAGCACTGACGATAAGGTAGGCAGTTCAAACCCAACTAGAGGCACATAGGGAGACAGGCCTAGAGATCTGCTCCTGAAAATCCACAGACTGGAAACCACCACCCCACCCCACCACCCCCCGGTGCATGGCTCTACTCGGCACACATGGGGGGGGGGCAACAAGAGTCAGAATCGACTTATTACTACGTGCATGTTGAAAGACGGCTAGGAGGCATGTTGGAAGGAGTGCCTGTTCAGAGGGAGGAAGAAGGTACGGAATCAGGGATGGCAAGGTGACAACAAAGGGGAGGGGGCGGGGGCTGAGAAATTGCAGCATGTGTCAGACACTGCCAGGCACACACCCATGTGATACTCAAGGGAAAGGCATAAGCCTTCTCCCCGTTCTCAGTGGCTGAGGCAGCCTCGGCACAGAGGAGAGGCACTTGTCCAAGGGCTGGCAGCTCTCCGAAGCGGTGAGGATTCTAGTTCTGCCAAGTCCTAGTAGCGTGACCTTGACCTACTCACCGCACCTCGCTGAGCCTCAGTGTCCCCGTGTGGAAAATGGGGCCATGATGCCTTCCTCTGGGAGTCCTCATGAGAGCGACATGAGCACTGTGCATGGTGCCAGCCCATCCTGGGTGCTCCACTGAGGTGTCTGGGCCTTACCTGGGGGCAGGTGGGTGTGGGAGAGGAAGGAGCTGGGTGTGGGGGGAAGCCCTTCAACCCCTTTGATGGGCTGGGCCTAGAGATTTCTAGGGTTGCCCGGGACCCACCATCCCCTCCCCATCTTCCCACCCTTGGCCTCCTGCCTATGCCCTGGCCACCTCTTCTCTCCTCCTCTCTGGTCCCTTCCCAGCAAAGACGGGCATTGCTTCTGGGCCCAGACCCTAGACTCCTGCAACCAGCTGGGCCTGGCGAGTCTTCTGGACACTGAGGTCTCCAACCCCATGGAGTACGAATTCAACTTCCAGCTGGAGATCCATGGGCCGTGCCTGCTGGCAGGTGAGGAGAAGCTGCCCAGACCAGGGCAGGTGCTGAGAAGGCTTGTGGTCCCAGTGGGAGGAGGACCTCAGACTGCAAGTTGCCAGGGCAGAGAGAGGAAGGGGCAGACAAGGCAGCCAGCTGGCCTGGACAGAGGAAACCCCAAATCAGAGGGAGTTTCAAGACCCCCCCTACTTCTACGACTCCAACAGCAACCCCAAAAGGAGCCCCCAGGGGGTCCGTTTTTAAAGCCTCCCCCACCCCAATGGCTTCTGGGAGGAGTTTCCATCAAGGAATGGAATAAGAGCCTCAGTCTCTAAGCTGCTTCCTGGCTCACCCCGTGTTTGAACTCAGAAGCACGCGGGAAGCTTTCAAATCGCTGATGCCCAGACCTCCCCCCAAAGATTCTGAGGACATAGCCGGGGGGTTGGCTCAAAGACTGAGCTCCCCGCCATCTCATCAATCCTGACTCAGGGTGGCTCTGGGACAGGGTCAAACTGACGGGAGTAGGAAGCACTGACCCCGCGGTTAGTGGCCCAGCTTGCAACCACTCCGCCACCAGGCTCCCTGTTTAGAAATAGTTACAAGCTCCCCAGGCAGCTTTGTGCACAGCCAGGGCTGAGAACCATTGCCCCAAGGGTTCTCCCGCACAGCCCACCCAAGGTTTCACCAGGGCACGAGGACTCTGGGTTCTCGTTAGAGAGCCTTGTCCCAGAGCAGCGT